AAAAATGAGAAATATTGAGGTTTTTCAAATATCAGTAGGGACAGAAATTTAATGTAACAACAGATCATTTGGTCCTTCAATGTTGTTTTTTTTGTTTTTTTAAACTCTTGTTAAGTACCAGCTTCCAAAACTGCTGATGGTAAAACATGCTATAAGACAATCACCGTGTCAGAAAAATGAAACTGAAGATGTAGAACTCGTATAGCTGATGCCTGGGACAATAACTTTATTATACTGTGCCCTTCAGAAAAGTAATTTAATTTCATTTCTTGAAAAGCATTCAGTGTATATTTCTAAGGAGCCATGTAAGTTACTGAAAGTCTTTACTGCAGAAGTCTAGCACATACACATGAACATTTAAAACTATGCATCTCTAAACTTCAAACCAAAACTATATACATAAATACATACAATCCTTTGATTCATATACCCTCAGTCACACACACAGAGTAACAAATAATATCATTACATTAATTGATTTTGTCTACAGCAGGAGGCCATAACACCTGACTGCTGTCAGCCTTAAGAATAATATATAAGAAAAAAAATTACAAAAATATTTAACCCTATGTGCACAGGTGGGGATAAAAGTATGCATGTCATGATCTTTTACAATGTGCCATTCAATGTGATAAGTCATATTATGTATTTGACTGATGTTATCAATTTACAACCATATCTTGAATACAAATATTTTTGTAGCACATCTGATTTTCTGTGTCCAACAGACTTCTATATTTTACTAAAAGCTTGCCACATTTCGTGTATGCCATAATCTCTTTATCAGTTTGTACCTGTAATATTCCACATGCTGCTGTGTAAAATCTTACTGACTAAGTTTTTAAAACTAGAAAATATATGAACAAATATATATGAAGAGCCTAAATACATAAAAGGATATGTGCCATTCCCAACAAAACTGAGCTGCAAATGGCATTGCATTTTAAAAAGTTATGAGTGAAAGTAAAGAAAAATGCATAACAATATATCAACCACGTTATACTACTCTACCCAGTACTGATATTTTCCCAAATACCAAAGCTCATATTGATTGAGTTCACTGTTAAATAAAAGCAAAGTTATATGTTGTTTTTTTTTGTATTTTGTGAGATGGAGAGGGGAAGTATATTTTTAAGGACAAATAGATGTTTCTAGCAATTTGTCTTCTTATCCTACAACTGCAATAACACTATAAAATTATAATTATCTTTTACAAACTTAAAAATTCCCAGTCATAGTCCTTGAAATTTAAGATATAAACAAAACAGTAATTAGTATCTAGTTATAAAAAATAATCATGAATATAATTTAAAATTCCTAATATTGCTGAAAAAAAATAAAAGTATTTTTTATAATTTTTATTAAACTTTTTTTTTTATCAGATTTCAAAATTTTCCTCAAATATGTTTTTCCCCTTTCTTATTTCAGCAATGAAATACAGCTTTTGATCTTGGTGTCCACAAAATTATGTCTACCCTACTTGAACAGCAGCTCAATACTTTTAGATGCACATAAAGGTGTTATTGTTTTGTGTTTCCATGAATATTATCTGCCTTACAAGTACAGGTATATAACGTATACATACAAAAACCATATTTATATCAATATATGTATATATATATATATATATAGAGAGAGAGAGAGAGAGAGAGACACACACACACACATAAGCAGCAGAACTGACAGAAGACAACTGAACCCATCAAGGTCATTTCTCCTATAACACAACAAGTAACTGACAAATTATGACCACATGTTTTCACATCTATATGCTTAACCAAAGTATCTTTAGAATAATTCTACTGTACACAACACATCATCAGACAACCTATTTCACAAGTTTATAACACTAACCAAAAAAAATTTGAACAAAAAACAACTTTGTTTCTTTCTAGAGTTCAAGTCATAAACCTGTTACACCTGATATTCAACCTTCTCATTTCATAACAAACACAGTTCACTCATAGAAACTGTTCAAACCCTCTAACAATTTTTAAAACTTCTAATTCTTCAAATGCTTCTGAGAAAAGTCACATTTTAAGTCTTGTATTGCTGCTAAGGTGGCTTTATCATTCTAGTCATAGTAGTAGCCTGTCACATTTATAACTTTTCTGTAGTAAGAGGAACAAACTACATATAATGTAGTAAAATGTATTAGCTACAGGGATTTACAAAATAGGTAACACTCCTAAAAAAAGTGGAATAAAACAGCTTCACAAATGAAAGTATAAAGTTTTTAGTAATATAACTTTTTGACATATCATTATTTCCTTTAAATTTTAATAATAACTTTTTTTTTGTCATCACAGAGATGGGACTTGATTTAAAATTGTTAAGGCTTACACTGTAAATAAGCTGTCAATGGGAGACTTGCTTCAGTAGCAAAATGATATGTTTAGAAACCATAAATTGAAAACTATAGAAAATAATTACAAGCTCTGAAAACACAAATCAAGAATCATTTTTCCATTAACTGTAAACAGGTGGAACAGTTAGCTTGAAGATGTTGTTTGTTTATTTAAATTGTTCTTCATAAGGTTATACTGATGTGAAGACTATATTCACATCAGTGTAACATCATTCTTTATTTGGTTACTTTAGTGTGTGAAAGGGTGAACTCGAAGGGTTGAATTTGTCTATTGCCATATTATGTATATAGATGGTTATACCTCGTATGATTCCTGTTATACATATGTAACACTTATTGAAATCCTGGCCTTTGTTTCTCATACAGATCAGGTAACTTTACTATGTATTGTATATAAGATTCCCAATAATGATCCATGGAAATGCATTGCAACCACATCAAACTACGAAAGTTCTATTTTCTTGGTCATTACTAAATTAGATTTATTTATTATTAAGTACATGTACTTATTGTTAAAATATAGATTATGCAAATAAACTGAATTTCCATACTTTTACTTAATAAATATACTTTAACTTGATTGGATAGATATGAATATGAAACATTTTACACAAAATCCTATTTTTGTAACTTTTGGAAGGTTTGTACATAATCCTGTTGCTTCATTTGAACACAACCATTAGAAATTACCTGGCTAAAGATATAACTGTGGAGCTCATACAGACTGTGATAGACTACATATAAAACATTGTTTATGGTTCATTCTTTATTCAAGGTATTTTTTCTTTGTTTTCCAATTTGGCACTGTTTTTGTCACTGGGAAAATTTTTGTTACACTTTGTTGTTGATGAAAAAATACATGCAAGTCCAACAGAGTATCTATCTATAAAGAATGAAATGGTTGATCATCTTTTTCTCACTTGTGTCTCAGAGACTTGAGAGAACAATAACAAAGCTTTACTGTGCAGTTAACTTACAGAAGTATTTTCCAAACAGTAACAATGAAACACTTTGCATAAATAACCAGAAAAATAAAACAATCTATAATGTTAAGTAAAAATTGTTACAATTACATCTATCTGAGAAAAAAGAACAAATCTATTATGGCATATAATTGTTATTTTAGTGATATTTTCAGGTAATAGTATGATATATGAAAAACTAATATTTTGAGATTGGTAATATACTAACTGTACTTCCAGGGCATCAGGTTTTAAACAATTCTCAAACTGGTTCATCACATATTGCATCAGCCAATTTCAAATGACTTTCATCCAATTGAATCATATCCAAGTCATCAAATGTAACAGTTTGAACCAGGTAAAAAGTAAACTACATTGATCAGGTAGTAAACCCTGTATCCCCTTAGCTAAAACTAATTTCTGAGACCCACATTACCATGTAAAATCTAAAGAAATTAGTGTACAGTCTTTTTGTCTTTCCACATCTATCTGGTATAGAAAGCTAAAGAACTAAACAATAAAGAACTGTGTATCTGTTACCATATGTTTTAACACATTCAGAAACACTGCTTATAATGAAATGTTTTAGTTTAATAGTTGTTTTTTTACCAATACTAATATTTGGTATTTACAATCTACTTTTATTTACCATATATTTATCAATTTAATAGAGCATTAAGACAGAAAACTTGCAAAGAATAAACAGAACGGACTTATTAAACCATGAACATTATTCATAATTATGTTGATTTTAATGATATGTTTCAATTTTGAAAAGTTGTTGCATTTTGCTTAAAGTGAATATACAAATAGTGCAAAACTAGTTTCAAAATTTTTATTCATATTTCGTTGAAACTGAATAACAAGAATCCAATTTACACCGAATTTTTTAAATTTATAACAAAAAAACAAATACAGAGATACCACTTTTTGTATTTAACAGGTTTTAAAAGCATGTAGTGTAAGAGTAATGCTACAGTTCAACTAACCTCATTTTAAAAAGTTTGTCTCCATCATAATACTTGTTTTTCAGAAACAACCCTCTCATAAGCCAGCGCTTATAATGTAACTACTGCAACTAATTATTCATTTAACAACATTAATAAATGTCACAATCACCTCTTGGTTATCGTTGTAAGTGTGAATGAAACTTACACTCAAAACAAAGTGTGTTTTGACAATGCTAAGGAAGCTGAACAGTTGTTATACTTACTCTGCATTCTACATAGGCATATCACACTTGTATACATCTGTTGAGAAAAGCAAAACTATTTCGTTTCGATGGTGCGCTTTTAGCTACGTGTAAATATGTCGCCAACGTATAAGTAAACGAGAAGCTAGTTGTTGGGTAGGGATAATCGTGAATAAGAACTAGATTGTCCCAAAACCTCAAATTTCCGCGAACATTCACCTTTCAAGTTTTCTTAATGCCTATTTGGAAAAACAAAACTGCTGTTGAATTGATAGCGCATAATTTATTGCTAGTGAAAATCGGATTAAATTCAAAATAACTGGCAAAAGTATAAAAATCATAATCGTTAAGATCTTTCTGAAAAGGACGCCTTACCACGGCAAACATCCGCAAGGGACAATAATAATATGTAATGTTCAATGAATTAGCCATTTTTTTTAACGATTTAGTCATACCTAAGATATGCAATGGCACTTACTACTGTTTCAGGTGTTCAAAGGATGATTCTTTATGGAATATGGCTGAAAATTGACAATTCGCTTCACTTCCCAATCAAAAACAAGGTGTCTTTGTCCCAACACCGGCGTTTCAGGATAAAATGGAGTGCTGAGAAGTAGAATCAAGCTGCAGGAACGAGCGCATGAGGTTTGTGACGCGTGACGTCATCAGTTTTGTAAAACAATGATACACAACTTCTGTTTGACTCTTTTTTTAAGACCAGTGATTTGATATCATTCGTTCAAAATACTTATATGCATCTATACGAATAGGCCTAATATCAATCCTTAGGCCAGACTGTATATAAACTGTATTTTGTAAAATCCAATGATCCAATGTAACAAATAAAATATTTTTTGCAGAAGTGAAACATATTAGAAATAAAAACACTACATTAATTGATTAAATCACAAAATGTATCTAAGTAACATGATCATAAGATTAACTTTAAGTTTAACTTTGTAAATCACAAAAAGCTGCATAATTAGACTTAACTGAATTAATCAAAATATAATATTTGTGAAAAACCATAAATCTAAATTAGTTCAATGACGATTTCAAATGTTAGTCTTAACAATGTAAGATACAGTTGTGAACACTCATACAACAACCTCATTTTTTTATTATAGTCTTAAAAAGATGGCTTGTAGCGTTTGTTCCAAACTTTAAGTATCTATTAAGATGAATCATAACAAAATTTAACTGCGAAAAAGAGAGAGAGAGGGTATTACAACGGTGTCCCTGACCTTGACACAGCACTTCGATACGCAACAGATAGATAGGCGGTAGCATTGACTATTGACTGCCATATTGACAAGTGTTAGTAACACATTATGAATAATTTTGATATTATTTCCACACTTGTAATTTTTTAAAAAAGTGCCATAACTATTTAAAAAGCTTAATATTATCAATGTACAATCGCTGATTGTCAAGGAATTAAACTATACATCAAACTCGTCCAATCGTTTTACGAACACAAAATAATTTACAGCCCACAATTGCGCATTCTTTACAGCGGTGCTGCACTCTAGTGATAAAAATATGATATAGGTGTAGGAGATAACGAAAAAGGTGTATATAATAAAGTAAAAATATCGTTCATTTAAACATAAAATCATAATAGTGATAGGTTTGTGCTTTTAATAGTTATTTAAGAATATAATTATTTTAATCAAAAGCATTTTCAATAAGTTTCTATAATTATAAACTTTAGTAGCGGTTAACATGTGTGGTATTATTATTACTGAGTCTGTTTGTTTAAGAACAAAGCTAGATTTGGTTATCTGCTGTGTACACCGCGAGGAATCGAACCTCGATATCTTGTGTTGTAAGTCTGTAGACGTACCGCTGTCCCACAGAAGGACTTATTAAACCTTACTTATTATTATTATTATATATATATATACTATTATAAAGGCTTTATATTTTATATCGAGGCCATATTGATAAAATAGGGATAACGATAGTTTTTTGTTAGAAATGAGGTAAAAGCTAGTATGAGGAAAAGGGTTAATTGAGAGTGCAAAAAAATTCAGAGAGCATTTTTGGCTGAGGTTCTTGAAAGGATGTGAAAAAAGATGCTTACTGACATTTTATATAGGCCATCTGATCAAGCTGTTGACACTGAAAAAAATATACATAGACAAGTTAGTTATGCTGACAATCGAAACAAGTTTGTTATAATAGAAGACCTGTTCTAGGGAAACTGATTGGGTTAGACCTCTTCATCGCCAAAGGCTGAATAATTTGTTTAGATTCTGAATATTTTTCTCATCTGGCGTTTGAAATATTCTACCAAGGAAGAGGTTATTTTAAGAATTTTTCTGAGCACTGAGGAGGGTATAATTCGAAAATCAATCTGAAAAGCAGAATACACTGGCTCTAACAGTGATCTGTCCAAATGCAGGTGTTGTACCAGTGCTAGTATGTAAGTAAGTATGTAAGTACAGTCACTGTACCATGTCCAAAAACAAACTTGCAGCTTCTAGAGCACCTAAAATCCCTAGTTGAGTTTTGTGCAAACAATATGAACTCAGAAAAAACACATTAACTCAATGAACTGCTCATGGAGTTTTAATGTTTTTATTGGAGTAAATGGCCAACTGGGTAAAAAAAATCATACATTATCAACGAGGCACAAATGATGCCTATGTGAGAAAAACAACCACTGTGCAGGCTTCCTTGAAGTACAATATAGACAGTGTTGAAATTGGGTTGATGTTAAAGTATGAAATAATACAACATTCAGAAAGGTCTAGATATCTCTAGCGGTGATCAATTGAAAACTGGTGAAAATCATAATCCTCATCGATGCCTTTCTTTTGACACAGGTAGGTGAATGACTGGATGCGTTGGAGGGTGCCTGATAGTTCAGTACATTAGATCTATCTTCCGGATACTGGCAAGTCACACTGGATGACGAAAGCAGACATAATACTAATTTCAGCACTCGATCAAGGACTGTATGAATTCATTCCATGTCGTGGCATTCGATATGTGTAATGTACTTGCCACTTTATAGAGGTTGGTGAACCTTATATGTAAAGGACTGCAACGGAAGAAATGTTTCACCTTTGTCTATGGTGTTCTTGTCTTTAGTCCCATATTTTAAGCCACAAATGAAAACCTGAAAATGGTTTTTCCAGAGCATCAAGGATGTAGACTTGAAACTGAAATCAGGAAAGTGCACGCTGAAGCACATGGAAATGCAGTTTCTTGGTCATATAGTTGATAGACATGGAATACCCACTAATCCTACGAAAATTGCGGCAGTCGAGGACGCCCTTTACTTTCTAACAAACAGTTATTTTGTAGGTTTCTAGGTTTCGTATCGTGTTATCGATACTTTGTAGCCAATTTTGTTTTTACGTTTTCCACACCACTGTTGGCATTGACTTAGGTTGGCACGCACTTTGTATGGACACTGGAATGTGAAATTGTCTTCTAGCTCTTGAAGCACGCGTCACTGAAAGTATAAGTGTTAGATTATCCTCGTCGAGTTTGTTCATTCATCTTGGATATAAACGCCAATGACAATATTCATATCCTAGCATCATACAGTGGTTAAAGCCATTACAATAGTAGTAACATTGAACCACACCAGAAGTGACAATTTCATCTTTCAATAAACACCATGGATAGCCAATTAGGAACTTGGGGAAGAGCAACTGAAGTACCTACCTATACCTAGCTTTGGTACTACTTGACATACAGCAAGGTAGGCTATTCCCATTATTAACTGCCAAACACAGCTGATCTGCACAAAACATGGCACTGGTATGTCATTTATGCGTGCAGGATGGCACATTGTTATGAAACATTGAATCGTGATAAGCAACAAGTGATTCAGGTAGTGGTTCACAGAGCTCCAAGAATATAAAATATAAAATACTTTGGACTTTGCGTAACGCAAAAATTAGAGGTCACAAAGATGTACCACAAACTATTGTCAATCTGTGGAAGCTGCATTTTTTGCTACATTTGCATAAAGATGTTGTGGCCAGTATAGAAAATGTGCTCAGTGCGCTGCTCAGAGGAAATAGTAGCTGTACCAGGGAATACTCCCCCAATGGAAAAAAAATGTTTCTATGTATAGCTGGTCCTCTGCCCCAAACTGCAAAATATAAGTGATACGTGCTGGTTATTGCCGATTTTTTTCACAAAGTGGGTCGAAGCTTATCTATTAACTGACACATTAATACACCCCATTGCAGATATGTTGGTGGAACAATGAATATTATGCTTTTGAAGAGAGACCTACATGAATCAAGGAGCTAGCTTAAATTGCCAGTTGTTTGCAAAGCTGTGTCGAATGATTGGTCTGGTGAAGATGTGCACTTCACCATATTATCTTCAATCTTATTTCTTGGATGAATGAACAGTCGAGACTGTCAAGTAAATATATGCTTGTTAAGATTGTTAATCCTGATGAAACTGATTGATGTGGTAGTTGTTACCACATGTTATGTTGGCATATAGTGTAACTGAGCAACAGTCAACTAATTATTCTTCAAAACTCCTGATGTTTGGATGAGAAATGCAAGTCCCTGTGGATTTGAGATATTTATCTCCACACAGTGCAGAAGTATTACATTATATATAATAAAGTAAAATTTTCAAGCTAATAAATAATTTCAACTTTGAGTGTTGTGATGTGATTAGCTTAGACCACAACGAGTTACAAAACACGGTGTGTTCTGCATTTTCTTAATACAGGCAATAAATATACACACTTTGCTTCCAAAATGGAATATTCTTAAGCTTGGGATTTTTCAATGAGATAAAGACCTAGAGCTGCTATAGAAATTTTACCACAACAGTTGATAAATCTGGTGGATCCATTGTTTTCACTGATGCTGGGGAAGGAATGTCTTGTATTTAAGATGTGACGGATTTATTATTATACATTTTTTAAATATCGATGTTTGTTTAAACTAAATTTATATTTAGAAGTGTACATAATTTATATTGTTAAATATGTATTGCAAAACTCCCGCCTATTCTCTAAAGGTGTAGAAAATTTTTGAGTGTAAGAATCAACAATATATATGCGTGTGCGTATACACTAGTGTTAGCGTCAGCATTGTTACGTAAATTGAAGTTTCGAGAAACTCTCCACACGCCTATAAATATAACAAACGCGACGCGCCAAAAAACAGTATCTATCATTGGGTTGCTGTAATTGGTGTGCTATAAACTTCGTAAGCTATAACTTATTAATCGGGAACTTCAGATATATTGACCAGGAACATTTATAAAATTTCTAACATTATACAAATCATTCAACTTCAGTGGATTCACATCGGACATTAGTACTTTTACGAAAATATTACCTAACGTCACCGGTAGGAAAAATCAGCGTGTGATCTGTGAAAACGACAGAGCTAGCTCCCTATGAAGTGAATTATACTGTTACGCCTCCGTTCGTTAGTTAATTTTCCGTAAATTTCGTTCCGACGAAATTTTAGCGACACAAG